TACTTCAACATTCTAGTGACTACCTTAACGGCAGCAATATCATAAAAGCTTCTATTTGTGTATAGCTGCTCTGTTCGAAGTGAGATGTGCGCTAGAAAGTGTTTGTATTTTTTTTCTCGAACAAAATCTGGGAAAACAGCAGAAAATTACATTCAGTTCGTAAACACCCATGAACTTCTCGTCTGCTTGTTCCTAAACGTGTTCATTTTCAAAGCAATGGCTGTTCTGACGTAATAGAAGCGCCAAGTCCGAGAACGCTATGGCGACAAACTATCGAATGGGGATAAGTTTTCAATCTAGTCTCAGACTTTATTGGAAGTACAGATTGAACACGGTCGATACAAGACTTTCATAACTTTTCAATATACATGTATACGACTAACATAGTTTACACCTTGAGCGTTGACCAGAAGGGGTATAATTAGATACAAACAGCAATGCGCATATTCGTTACCTTTTGTGTCAAACAATATGTATGTGCGCTCGCAGCTTTGAGCAAGGCAGCGGCTACTATGCGTGCTAAGGGCAGATTGTATAGTCTTGATTATCTGTAAGATCGTATCCGAAAAATACATCATCTGCACTTGCAGCTGGTCTCAGAGAAGCCTCCAAAACCCCTAGAAGTATTCATATACTGGAGAGGACTGGAAAGGTTTTAATTTTTGGGAAGTAAAAAGCCGAGCGCGTATTTGTAGATCTATTGCAATGCAGAATCTGTCTTGATCAGACTTCTCAGCGCGATGTCTGCAAGTACGCACGCATCACCTCAATATGAAAAATCTTCTTTTCCAAATATCTAATGTTAACTCAACGCCAAAATCCTTGGCCCAGACCCAAAAAAGCGCTTACCAGCGCACTTCATGTAACAAAAATGTTGAACGCAAAAATTGAGCAGGATAAGAGATTCGACAAGGCCACCCGACAAAAAAAGAAGACATACACAGCAATTAACATTCAATGAATGAACTTCTAATTCAAAAATTGTGGAATGGGAAGGACCAAGAAAAATCACTCAAGTTAAAGGCTGTGCAAAAGCGGACGCCTTTTTTTACTGTTGTAACATTGCTTCTATGGCATCCGCAACGAAACGTGCGCGATCTCTTTGA